TCGCCCGCCGAGAAATGTTTGATGGAAAACTTGGCGTATGGCCGTTTGTCGTTGATGAACCAGCGAAGCGCTCAAGCAAGAACCGCCCGAAAGGAACCATTGAAACCAAACCGGTGAGTGTGACGGCTGATGTATACCAAGCGATGATGTTTGATAAAGTACTTCCGGCGATCGCATTGAAGATGCCACGGACCCATCGCAGCATCCGCATCCAGCAAGACAACGCAAGTCCGCATCGATCTATGACTACCGAAGCCATTCAGCGGCGCTGTGACCCAAGATTCACGTCAATTGAAGTCAAGAACCAGCCACCAAATAGTCCTGACTACAATGTCTTAGATTTAGGATTTTTTAATGCTATTCAAAGTCTGCAGCATCAAAAGTCAACTCGAACTATTGATGAGATGATTGTTGCTGTAGAAAATGCTTTTGTTGAGATGCCGGTGGATACGCTTTCAAAAACATTTTTGACTCTGCAAAAGGTGATGGAGGAGTCAATGGCTAGAGGTGGGAGCAACAATTATAAACTTCCCCACATGAAAAAAGATAAATGTATCAAGAACTTCTCAACATACAACCTTGTTTGCGACCAAAATTGTTATGAAAGCGCCCTGGCAACACTCACAGCTCGAATTGAACAAGAACACCTCGAAAGGATGATGGAAGCGAATAATTCTCAAGAATAATCGAAATCATCGTCATGTGTTTTTCATGCCAAAATAATATCAAGTTTCAAATACACCATACAAAATTTAAGTATGTTTTGAATTTGACGCGATATACAAACTCCGAGATAAAACTCCCCAAAAAACGAAATGCTGCAAACAATGTGGAACAGAGTAGTACTAGGTAGTACAGTACATTAATCAAGGGACACCGAATCGGTGGCATGCCATCATACTTTAATCAAGTGTCACATGCGTCGTCGTCGTAGTTCTTGATACATCAAGAAAGCAGTCCGGATAATTCGATATCGGTCGTCCATAAATTGCAAGAAGCATGGACAACGGCGTACTGCCTGTGGCGGATGTGCCTGCCGACGTGCTGCGAGAATATCAAGCTCGGGCTGCGGCACAATGTCCTCCCACGGATGCGCAGGAGTATATGTGGCGGGTGCGCTTTGAAGCCGCCTCCATTCCCGACATCACGACTTCCGCGGTCGTGATCCCAAGTGTACAACCCAACACATTGCAGAAACTGTTCTTGCCGACACTTCCGCCGTTTCCCGTACACCTTACGCTGTCCCCTGCCGCGCGCATGCAAGTGTTGTCCGAGTTCGCGGACCTGCGGCAGTATCTAACGTACGTCGAAGCCACGTTGGCGGCTCGGCCAACTCGCCTCGACAACATCCCGTTCCCCAAGATGAGCGACGAAGCGCACTGGCGCGCCTTCTTCCTTGAGAACGCCCCGACCGTCAAGGTGCTGTTACAGATGGACCAAGTGCTTACTCAGCGCCTCCTTCACACGATGGTCCACTGGATGGACGACGATCAGGATGGAGCGGCTGAGACGATGTCGAGGCTACGAGCTGTGTGGACGTACGGTCTCCTCGCTCGGTTAGAAAAGCCGCTGGTTGCTGACATGGACGCTTGTGTGCGGCAGATCTTTCGGTGGTGCTGGGATCTGCGACACCGGAACCAAGCTAGAAATGACCATCGCGAACGATCCAGCCTAAATGTACTCGTCTGCATTTGCGATTTCTTTGGCCAAGGCGAGGAAGAGCAAGGGAACAAGTACAACAGTAGCAACAGCATGTCCTGTGATGATGCTCCAAGTGAGGTATCGAGGCTTCGTGATGAGATTCTCGGCAATGATCACCCCCTGCCGCCGCCATCACCGTTCCACCACGATATCGCCCATGGCGAGTAATACATGTATACATGTTTGCCTCTTCGAACTAGGCAACTTTCGTAATATGGTCGTTGAGGCTCAAAGTTGCACGCTAAAGTGATGATACTGTGATGGTGGTGGACTACTTACTTGGTTAGTCATAAGTAGGGGAAGTAAAGTACTAATGTTATACCAATCTAGTACCCGTATTTGTCGTTGATCTGCACCATGAAATACAAAACGCGAATATAACACTATCACTCAATATAATCTTGAATCAATTGTACAATTCGAATATTTAAATAAATGCTTCAAATTTAATTCCATGATGCAAAGGTACGACAAATACAGTAGTAACATTATTGTGTGTTTTGTGTCGTTACGTACGTACTGACCTTCGTGTTGGAGGGCATAAGTACAGCGCCTACAGACTGTACAACGACACACATGCAGCCAGGGGGAATGAATATAAGTAAGTTACTGTACATTAAGCCCACGCCGTGGTGCAGTGTAACGTTAGTCGTGATATCGTGTCGTTGATAGATGACGAAGGTGCAAAGTCATTCCGAAAGCAGACTACGACCACGTTGCTGGCTATACTTTGTACGCAGTGCATGGCAAGGAGTACGAACTAGATCATTTTTTCATCTCGCAGTTGGCAAACTAGGATCATGAGTTTGATTCCCACGCGCATCCCTGAGCCTAGTACATTTATTGGGGTAAACTTCGGATCCGTTGCTACTTACTACAACAAAGTAGTAACGTTACTATTATTATAATATTAATAGTATATGTTAGCTATTCATTGTTGCATGTGTGATGTTTTGCCTGTGTTGCGCCGTCAAGTTGGAGAACCACCACCATGTGTGTGATTCTTGTAACTTTAGTGGTACTAGAATTATTAATAATAGCAATACTAGTAGTGCGCAATCCCTACAGTAGTCGAGCGAAATGTCGTGTCCAGGTGATTAGAAGGTTTCCTGATTGCCATGCTGCCCTATGGGTTCCCATATGACACACATCAAGTGATGAAATGATGAAACGAGCGGTTAGAACTTCGCCGAGCAACGCGTGAGCGAGCTCCGTACCAGCTGGTCTGCCCACAAATTCCAAGTCCATCTGCGAGCGCACCAACGCCAGAATCCCACAAGACGGCGTACCACATGATTCTTGCAGGCGCCGCCACTCCCAACGCAAGTAGTAGTACGTCATCAGAGTGGGCGCAGTCAGATAAACAGTGTCACCAGTCAGCACAACAATCATCGGAAGAACTATATGTACCAGCAAGCCGTACAGTACAATTGTACCGTGCTACGAAAGCAAGGGAACAGCGAAAAAACATGCTGTGCCCCCACGCGTTTCAAATAGCATAATCGTACATATCACATGTACGTATGTTTTCACTCTCGCGACTGAATACAAAACACACTTTACAAGAATTCCCCAGAGTTGAATTCGTTGTGTGTGTGGGGGGAGCCACACAATAATAAATGTTGGGCGAGCCATATGCATCACTGGTGAATCCAACGCCGTTAGTGACGAGGCCAAGATTGTTGACCCCGTTCGAGTATACTGTATTGTACTGGGGGTAAGTACAACTTCGACGATACCAGACACAATGGTTGGTTGGGCTGTCTGTCTGATGCTCGGTCGGCCTACAGTAGTTTCGCATTCTTGCATCGAAATATGTAGCGTTGGGGGAGGAGGGCTTTTTGACATGGCTACCAAGGTGATAGTTCGTGTCAACCTGGCATTGCATATCAAAATGACGGCAACTTCCAACTAACACACGACGAGGAGGGCCTCAAGGGGGGTCCAGGGCACGAACACAAATACCATAAGTGTAACGCTCCATCCTAATGGTAGCTACGCTTCTGTATCGATCGATGGATGTGGTTGTTTTCGCTGCTTTGCAATGTTGAATTGCGTTGCAAAACTAATTGTCCTTTGCAACCGCGCGTGGAAGTGGCAGGGACAATAATATGTACTAGTACCGTCGAAAGTGGTGTACGTATACTGCGAGTGTAGTTTGCCGTAGCCAATAACACCGATCCAATGCTGCTTGCGACACGACGTGGCTGCTAACGTCGTCCTAGTTCTATTAACGTTAATACAGTACCAGTAGTACAATCATGGATATCTTTTCTCATGGAGTAGTACTAGGTAGTACTACATACCACAAGTACCGCAATGCCAACTTCGTCGACCGATGGCGACAGGTATGGTAGATTGGTCGCTGGTGCAATGCTAGAAAAGTGCTCGCAACCAGCCCTGCCCCATCACGTTTACAAGTGTCGTTAGCCTCCCGTTCGTAGACAATGTACAGTGCAGGGGCTTCGCCAAGCCAACGAACGCAGTATATCATGAGGTTTCACTGACTTGTGCGTCACGCATAGTACAAGTACCGATACCCACTCATTGCCTGGTACGCGAACATTGACATACTCGCGAGTACCAGTACCAGTACAATGCAGGACGTTGATGCTACCGGTAGGGTGGCGAAAGTAGTGTAACGTTAGTCATCCAGGGAGTTTGTCATTTGAAGAAGTTGGAGGGGGAAAGTACCAGTATTCTACTACGTACTGGTACTCACTCAATGCTACCACTAACTTCCGCTGAAAATGATTTTTTACCCTCCCAAATTGTGGAAATTGCAACTTCTAGGATGAGTCAATAACTCTTACATTCCACTTGCCTCAGTCGAGCGGTTGGGCAGGTCAATAAGCGATTTTCTAATAGTACCTAACATACCATATATTTTCTTCGAAAAGTCGCCAAACCTTGACAAGTGGTCATTTCTACTACGTACTAGTACAAATGATCACTTATATACGTAGTACTATTAATAGTATAGCCCTTCGTAGTATTACTGTAGACAGCCCGTCTACAGTAATAGACTTCAGACAGTCCGTCTGAAGTCTCCACCTCTTTTGGGCACTTCATACTTGCTTTCAAATGACCATTTGTATCAAGGATGCCATTGTTCAAAATAGCCATTTACACGATGAAATGGTTATAACATTGGATGAGTCACTCGGGAATCTGGAGCCCTTTTTACTCTCATGTATATTCCGATCATGTTCAGACTGACAAGCAACTCGTGACTTCAGTACTTTCACCGAGTACAGTATTTGAAATTGAGATTTTCATTCTTGTCCTGGAGGTTATCAGCCACCAAGCAAGCCAACAAAGCGACAAGGCACTGATCAAAATCATTAATGCTACTGCGTACTAGAATTGTGGCACCCATGCCTTCTTCTCCATCATTTCAATGCGACTCTTATTAACGTTGCTGTAAACCATTTTAGAACGTATATTCCATGGGTGCACTGTACATTTAACGTTCACGGCACTTTTTGTCCCGCGTCCAGCTACAGTACGTGTATCTGTACCGGTATGTACAACCTCGACGTTTATTGTTTTCAGGAATAAGGTTATGTTGATTGTACTTAGGTCATACTGTACTACTATTATACCGCAAGTCCCCCACATACAGTATGGCTTCATGACACATTTGAATAGTGTCCACCTCCAGGAGGGTCTTAAATGCTTGCCTTCACACATAAATCTTAAATTCAACGCCCCCGTCTTCAACAACACGAGAATGTAAAGAGCCCCCACAAAGGATGGCAAAAAGTACGATTGGTAGGGTGTAGTATTCGGCATGCTACAGTATGCAAGGGGGATTGGAAATATGGAGGGATCACAATCAAGCACGAATAAGTCACCCAAATCAACAATGACCACATGCTAATAGGGACCGTTGATTTGTCAATCTATGCTCTTGACGGGAGATAGCTACGATGTTAGTAGTATAAGCCATAGCATCCACAACTAGTCAGCCAAGTTTGCGTGGAATAGCGTGGAATGACGTTGGTTTGTGGGATGGTTGGCTATGCCCCTTCTTAACACGATGCAGCTTAGAGTCCAAATGCAACTTTGAGTATTACAATCCTCTTCGTTCGGCAACGCGTTCCATATTTGGCTTGGATAATGTTCCCCCCTTTCACACCCCTAATCGATGAACCAAGCCCCCCATAATCGGTCGTGACGGAGGTGTCTAGGGAAGGTTGGACCACAGTGGGGGTTATACACATCAAAATCACCACGTTGGCTGCATGTAACGTTATTGATGGAAGTGAATGCTAGGGCGATGGAAGAGGCTGTAGAAATTGTGCAATGTTTGCATGTATAGTAGCCGAGAAAGGCCACATCGATTGATAAGCGCACCTTCAACCACAATCTCCCGTCATCTAAGGCAACCCTTTGGTGCAGAAAGCCATGAGGTACATGTATGTACTGCGTCATCGAGAATATTTCAGAAACATAGGTTTGGTTCATTTTAGAACTATTTGTATTGCCCACAGTCAACCTATGACCCCATAATCAAGAGAGAACTTTGTACTGAATCAAGAGAGGACTTCGTACTGAATCCGTGTTTGTAGCCCCCCCGCTTACCATGGCCAAATGAATCCTATGCTGGCAAGGGGGACGTGTACGGCTCGTGCCACTGAAAATTCGGTACCTGGACTAGAGTAGCGTACCTTTTTTCACCCGAACCAATCAACGGGCACTACAAGTTCAACTTGAACTTGTTGTGGGTTAGTGAGTCGCCAGGTGGTTTTGTCGAAGGGGGAGGACATCCAGTTGACATTCGTGCCACTGTCAGCTACTTGACCGCCTGCTGGTGCTGCCACAACCACAGTTGTCCACCCTGTTGCCCCTTGAACAGCCGCTGGGTTTGAGTGTTTTGCTGCAGCATGTTCACTTTCCAATTCGACGGCACACAATCATACTAGTAGCAGAATGAACCATCGGTCGCACTCTGTCGACTATAGCCACTTTGGCGGTCGCCCGCACGACTACACACGGTCGTGGTCTGTGTGTGAAGACTACAGCTACTGCCCCCCACCAACTTCGCCCACCGCTTTCGGAATCAACCGCTTCCTCGTCGACGACGACGACGATGACATGCCCGACCCGTCGGTCGTGTACCTCCAAGCTACATCCATGGACGACAAGTGTGGATACCGCACGGGCAAGTGCTTCAACATGCGTGCGATGAAACGCAACGGCAAGGACCACAAACTATGCGACTTTCACCGCGACAAGGCCAACCAGAACCAGAAAAAGCTTGACCGGAAGAAACGCATGAAGCGGTGCACACCGTATGGGTCGGTGTCCAGCACCACGTCGTCCCCCCGGTCGTCGTCGTGTGTCGCCCAAGACAGTTTGGACTTTCCGTTCGAGTACGACCATTCGAACCCGTCGGCTTCCCCCACGCGCATCGACCAAGCCCCTGAAGTGCTCCATTTCGACGAAGTCGCCTTCTTCTGTGACGCCATGACCCCTGCCGAGAAGCTAGCCCTGGCAGAAGCCCATGCTGTGTTCCAGCACGACCCATCCCCAGCATCGGACAAGAATTGTGTGGTTGTGACAGAAGAAGCCAACCGACGAGAAGACTTGGATTTGCTGTTCAAGGCGGAATTGATGTTGTTTGTCGATCAGTTGTAAGTTAGTGTAACTATTTAATCTATCAGTTCATATACATACCTCGTCCTCGTTGATTTTTTACGATGAATAAACAGTCCTACAAAAGTATGTATCCAGTCAAACGGCCCTTGTGTTTAGAGAGTTGTCTGGCCGAAAGCCGCATGCCAAGCAACGAAAGAGTACCTACTTGTTGTACAGTACTAGTACCTAGGTACTACTACTTGTGTTCACTGTATAGTTATTACTGGTACTAGTATTGTGGTGGGCAAAACACGAAAGGCGATACAGTACAGTACAGTACAGTACTACGTAGTACTACGTAGTACCTAGCTAGCTATACAGAGGGGACAAGGTCAAGGTCGTCGTGGTTGGTAGCTTTGCAGCCACAACTTAGAGAGGCCTGTGACCGACTCTTTGCCACATGGAAAGGTCTGATCAGTCGACAAAAATACAGGGCTTATAAACCGTAGCCAGGCGCGTGGTTCTTCATTGACACACCAAGGAATTTTTTTTCGAAGTCGGTTAAGTGATGGGCGCTGTCTTTGCGTACGTCGAGGGGGATTCAGTGGCTCATGCTGCCCTGAATAATATGCGCGGCAATGTGTGGGCCTGTCGGTAACCACTCTAGGGGCTGCGCGTGCTTGGAGCAGGCAGGGTCCTCAATCTGGTCGCTTCTTATCCGGCCTATCTCATGCTCAGTCTCAGCCGTGTTGAATGCACGAGCCTTGTCCTCGCGTTGTTGTTGTTGTAGCCCTTTCGAGATCTTACGAGTCTTAGAAGAATGTATCGTTGGTCCTAGAGTGGCCACGGACAGTGGCAGGATTGCATGGCCAGCCAGTTGGACATTTGTGTATCCCACGATACCTGGGTTGAGAGTGACCTCGGAAGCAAAAAGAGTAATCCGAATTTCACAAGCAAAACGCCTATTTCAGATTTCAAACTAGGTATTTTAATCGAAATAGGCTCCGAACGTGACCAAATCTCTATATAACGCTACTTTCATATAGATACTCGCACACACGGCATATTCGCTGCGTTTTCATACAGTGGACGGACTCTCAGCTCGCTTGCGACGGGACCCAGCGCAACGTGCTCATCTTGTTTTCAGATGTGGCTCGAAATGCTTTGTATGTACTGTATATGTACTCGTCCAACTGGAACGACTAAAGTCCTAATTAGGATTCATTCGGTTTGTGCCTGAAAATGCTCGATAACTCCACGAACCCATCTGACAACATTCATCATCGTGGTTGACAATCCATGACACAGCTTTAGGAAGGCGCACCACAAACAAGGCTGCATATGAACGACGCTGAGACGCCTCATGTGATAAGGAGCTAGCTACGCTCATGGCGCCGCCTGCTTGTGGGCATGCGCACATGTCTTCTTCACGCTCGAGCCAAGATGAAACTGTCTCGATGAGAACCGCTCCCATTGGTTCATTTCCGTTGATGGCACCAGTCGTCGTTACACCTTGTGGCGCGACACCGGCAGCTGGGAGTGGTTCATTCAAGCTGCTCTACCGGTACAAGCTGTGTTCTCTAGCAGGATCATGACAAAGCTCTTCTTCTTTGCCGTCACCGCGGTCACGTCGGCCGGGCTGTACAGCGGCGCCGCCGTCTACATGAGTCTCGTGCAGCACCCAGTGATCATGCGTCTGCGGTCCCGACGACTCCAAGCACCCTTCTTTTGCCACATGTACGTCAGCGCGTCTGCGTTTCTCGCTCCCATCGGCTTGTTGGCGAGCGCCGCATCGTTCGCCGCGGGGATGGCGGACACGGCCATGACCACCACGAACAACCCGTCGGCGTCGGCGCTGTGGGTCGTTGGAGGCGCCATCTTCCTCGCGCTGGTCCCGTACACGGCGCTGACCATGCTGCCCCTCAACCTCCACCTGACCAACGAGCAATACTGGAAATCCCATCGCACATCCGTCATGCAAGCCAAGCTGTCCAAGTGGGGCTTCTTGCATGCAGTACGATCCGTCGCAAGTGTGATTGGCACTGCCACGTTGATCTGTGCATGTCTGCGGTAGTATCGGCGACACGGTTCTGCCTCGCTTGATTAACAACAAATACCCAGTTTATATGACGATGTGAACTTGGTGTCGACGTTTCAACCCCCGTGCTGTACTACTACGACTACTATCTAAAGATGTTATAGTAGCTCCAACAGATCCAACCATGATCCAAGCCATGTGAAGCCAGCCAGCTAGCTTCACGGACTCCATGTTAACTTTACCAGTACAGTAGCTGGGTACAGCTCGTGACAATAACGGTTTCGACAGGATCGTACTGTAAAGCAAGCATTCTTAGTACCCACGACGACACCGTTTCGTTAAATCCTAGCTAAGGCAACCAACTCTCATAGGTTAGGTACTATAGGAGCTTGTTTTACATCTTCTTTTAGACAACAATATCACATGTTTATGAGCATTTGTTTCACTTCAAAAAGTAAAGAAAATCAATCCTAGTAGTAACTATTAATAGTACTACTAGATTGATTTTAAAGAAAATCAATCTATTAATAGTACTACTAGATTGATTTTCTTTACTTTTTGAAGTGAAACAAATGCTCATAAAGATGTGATATCGACATGGAGAAGGAATCACAACCGAAGAAATGGGCACAAGGATCATCGGCAGAATTAGGCTTTAGCCAATCAGATTGCAGGAAACAACCATCATCAACGTTGAATTAGTGTATGACTTGAATTAGTGTGATACCAATCACCACAGGACAACTTTTTACATACAAAATTCAGTACCAATAATGAATCGATATCGATAGATTTGGCAAAGAATCAGCACAAAAGTCAACCAAATTTTGGGTAAAAGGGCAATAATATTACATGCACATGATGCTCCCTATTCCTTTCACCAGCTATATTATTGTCGATTTGATATACAAATTTGGGGAAGAGGGGGTGCAATCGAATCGTTGCGCCGACCAAACCGATCCACAATCGATCTGATTGGTTGAATTTCATTGAGAAATGGGTTTTGATTGAATAATAATTTTGAGCTCATCTGAAGTAGCCAATCAAATCGATTTAAATTCAAACGAGAAACCACAATGAAATTTCACTCCAAAGCACAATAGCTTTAGGTAGTTAGTAATTTTATACATTACTATTGAACTAAGCTTTGAAGTATCCATGGTTTGACTCTGAGATACACACATGTAACAACGTTAGGTTTCGTTGTTATTTTTAGTTCTAACAACGTCCACGGTTGAATATCTGCGATACAGGCAGGTACATATGTATCCCTAGTGTTGTCCATTCTTCACACGATGCTGCTGTTCGTGTAGGTCGTACAGTTGCCTTTCCAGCGCGTCGTTCTTTTTTGTTAGGTACACAATATCCGCATGTGCTTTCGTGAGCAGTCGCATGGCCTCGACAAACTTTTCGTCCAAGTGGTTCTTTTCATACAGCCATTGGGTTTGCAGACCATGGAGCATGTCCTGCAGTTGTAGCTTGGTTTTCGTCTGATCGTCCGCGTACTTGTGCTTGAGTCGATGCATTTCTTCGCTCATGGCCACCGACTTGTTGCGCTGTTTGATCACTTCCTCGGCTAGTCGCTTCTCTTTGTCCACGCTCTCGGATAGAATCTGGTCCAGCTTGACCCGCTCGTCTTCAGCTTGGGCGTGGAGTCGCCGCCGCTCGTCCGCGAGGGCTTGTTCGAGGAACATTTCTTTCTCCTGCTGCATCTTGGCGCGTTCGTCTTCTTGAATTGCCTAATGGATTGATCATGGATTTGATGGTGGTATTGGCAAGTACATATATATGTCGTGAGGTATATGACTTGGAAAATACATAGGGTATTGATTTTAAAAAGAAAACTATCAATGGCGATGGAATAGATCGATCATTACATGTATAGAGATTAACGGGGTTCACATACGAAAACATGAATGTATAAATAATCCCCATATAATCCCGACACAACAACGATGAAACATACAAATATAAATATATACTACACACGTATATGATTTTTAATATATATATATATATATATATGACATATAATATATATTTAATAATTGAATGCACCAGACCCCAGATCAATTACGATAGGATGTATATATAATAATATCACTCGACTTGTTAATGAGGTTCAAACGAAGACATGAATGTATTCGAATCACCATACTCCTATCACACGAACGATGAAACATACAAATATATATATATACTACACAGGTAGATATATATATATTTAATATATGTATTTAATAATTGAATACACCAGACCCCATATCAATTACGGTGGAATAGATCCGATGAAACATTTCAATATACAAATAATATGTAGATATTATATATAATTTCAAATTTTAAATAATTTTCAACCATATTTCATTTCCAACAACCAGGTCGACACCACCACGCGTGAAATGTACATGCATGAACAGCTTTCCACAGTACGAAAAATGAAATACATATGTAGAACTATTAATAGCTATGTTTAATGTACCTGGCGCAGCTTTTCGTTCTCTTGGAGCACTGCGCTCTTGGTCGCAATATCTGCCTCTTCCTCTAGCTATATATATATACATACATCATTATGATTAGATGATGATGTCCATGGTAGTATAATTGAAACGGATGAACTAGTATACTATTTTTTAACGCATAAAATAGAGTCAATATATATATAAAACAAATCATTCAAGAAATGAGCGATTATTCGTTGAGCAGAATATAAAAAATACAAATGAAGCACGTACGATGCGGACTTCAATGTCTTTTTGCCGTTCTTTCAGCACGCCGAGGCCATCTCGCTCCTACACCATATTAGCATCATTAGCATTCATTCATCCATGATGTTCTTATATATATATATAAAATTATATATGTTGCAGTTGTCTATGTAATATTGTCACTTCAAAATACTATAAATGCCAAGGACTAGACCAGGCTGCACAACCCATGTATATCTCATCAATTGTCGCCTTCCCAGTAGCTGTGAAAGTAAATTTCATTGTAGCAAAAACAACATGGAATTGGTGTATGACACAAATTAGTGTGATACCAACCAACGTGGAACACAAAGTAGTGCGATCTCATATCCCAAAGTCAGCACAGACAGTTCATGTTGGGCTTATTCTAAACTGGAGCGACATGGAGAATGAATCGACTCAACCAAATAAATGTACGCAAGAATCATCGACAGAAGAATTGAACCAATCAGATTGCAGGAAATCACCCTCAACATCGAATTAGTGATATACCTAAATTAGTGTGATTACAATCGCCACCAGGACCAACTTTTTATATACAAAACTCAGTACTAAAATTCGACCGATACATACATTTGGCGATATCAGCACAAGTCCAAATTTGGAGTCAATGGACAGTAAACACGAAAACAAATAGACATAAAGTATAAAAAAGCACACCAGTCGTAGGTCATTGACAGGACAAGAGCGATGTGCTATACATGCACGCATAGATATATATATATATAATACATATATATATATAGTGATATTAAGCAAATAACGATGCCAATCGTACATAAATCAGCAGCTGTTTGGTATCTTCGATGCTTCGGAGCACGGGCTGGACCACCGCGTCGGCGGCGTTGGCTTTGAGAGCATCTTGGTACGCTTGGATGTCGTGCTGGAGCTTGAGTTTAATCTGCCCGTACTTATCCTTTCGCTCTCGAAAGGCTTTGGCCAATTTCGCCTTGTCCTGTATACACAAATATACATGCATGATGTTTCCCAACATACAGAATATACGGCAAATCAATTTATAAGCTGATTGTATATATATATATTATAAAGTTGTCACAACAAAATAAAAAATATAGTGAATATTTAATAAAAACACTTCCAATAATTAATGACAATATAATCCTCCCACCTGATGCAGCGCTTTGACCCGCTTGATGCCGTCGATTTTCTCTTCCTTGACCGTCTACACAAGTAGTTTTGATAGTACAATCAATTTATATATATCCTTATTAATATATATATAAATATATTTCGATCTTCACATCAATATATATATATATGAAGGTATATCAATATCCGGACATTCATACATATATATATATACATATCCACACTACTTGGCATGGATTACACCTCAAACTTTTGCATTGTCGAGGAATTAATATATATAATATATATAGAATGAAATTATGTATCATGCGTACCTGCATAAACGCCAAGATATTTTTGTCATTCGCCAAACTCTTTTGCCGCTCGTCTTCATATAACCGGGCCAGCCGCTCCTTTTCCTCCCACGACTATCCGACATATAAGACCCGTTGATATATATATTTGAAATATGCTGGATATTTGAACTATATCCTATCACTGAACAAACCTACCTGCTGCTTGGCGCGCTCCAAGTTGGCAATCATTTCGTCCATATCTCTGAGTGCTTCGGGGTTCGGCTGCGAATGTGCCTGGTGCAGAGTCCCGCCTTGGACCATCTGACGCAGCCGTTCGATTTCCTCGCGCAATTCGCGAATCATCTTCTCATTCACGTCCTAATACAATATACGATTCATATTATTTTTCATCTAAATATATATATCAATGAAAACCGCTGAAACAAAGTCCGTTCTCTTATTGTGCTTTCGAGTGAAATTTCATTGTGTTGTGGTGTGGTTTCTCGTTGGAATTTAAATCGATTTGATTGACTACTTCAGAAGGGCTCAAAATTATTATCCAATCAAAACCTTCTCAATGAAATTCAACCAATCAGATCGATTGCGGATCGGTTTTCGATTGCACCCCCTCCCCAAATTTGTATCAAATTGACGATACAAGCAACACCATCATATATATGGTAGCACTATACAAGGTAATGGGTATGGCAATATATAAATATATATATATATATATATATATATATATGAACTATTAATCAAATGAATTCTAGAAACTTAGGTTATAAATTACAGTACAGTAGGAAGGTCATAAGTCGTCACGTTTGCAATGTGTGCTATATATATATATATAATATATAAGTATATTAATGTATTATAATACATACATATCCATTCTACACGTATACATGAAACACCGTCTAGGCCTATTATGCATGCATCCAACGCCGACTCGAGCGACAAAACTGGCCCATTTCTACCCTCAGCCCGTTGAATATATATATATATTCCAAAAACAGACCCAAAACGAATAAATTCTTTTTCAATCGGTGTGCGTATGTATACCTCGTTCTTCCTTGTGGCATTCTTGATGGACTTGGCGCGGTTTGCATACTGCAACGTCCCCAGGGACTCGTCAAAGTTGTAGTCGGCCGGACTCACAGCGGCGATCATGACCGTGAGCGAATTCCCGCCCAGCGATTCCTACCACTCACCATGACATCTCATCTGTCTGTCTACTTCTCTCTTGATATGTCACAATGACATGCATACGATCCAGCAACAAGGATCCCGAAACGTATCAAATGAGCAAAATCACGATATATCGACCAACCCAAACCCAGATATTATCAAGTACCCAATCAAATTCATTCTTCGAATTCGTGTGTGACTGAAATTAGTGTGATATTGGATAAAAACGTCAGTACGTATTGTGCTTTCGAGTGAATTTTCGTGTTGTGGTTTCTCGTTGGAAGTTTAATCGATTTGATTGGCTACTTCAGAAGAGCTCAAAATTATTAGCCAATCAAAACCCTCTCGATGAAATTCAACCAATCAGATCGATTCTGGATCAGTTTGGTCGGTGCGATTCGATTGCACCCCCTCCCCAAATTTGTATCAAATCGACAATACACAATATCGATAATCTTTGATATATTTGGCAAAGAATCCGCACAAAAGGGCGTAAAAATGGACAATACACAACACATACAAAGGACTCCATGTGCGACTTATCTCGATTTACCCTACCATGAATCAAAACATGGACCATGGGGGGGGTTGTTGGCAGCCAGTCGACGACGATGGAGGCACAGAATCATATGTCACCCATGATCACGTCATCCAACACGACACGGATAACGTCATATCACAAAAAACACTCCAACACGACAGGATCCTACATGACGTGTAGTATATATCCAAACTGCAGAAACACACATAAACATGACGTTATATCCAACAGGAACATGACGTTATACCCTCCGTGATGACGTAATCAACACAACATACTTGCAGCAACCGCGTGAGTTTCGAGTCTCGGTACGGGACATGGCCTTTTTTAGATCGATCCGCGAGCATATTGATAACATTTCCGAGCGCGCTGAGGCTCTTATTGATGGCCGCGCCTTCTTTGAGTCTGTCGCCCGTGGCGCCCGTCTTGGCGGCGCGCTCCGACCCGGCCAAGTCCACCTACATATGACATATATATGATGCAAATGAAGATGGATGGTATGAGACATAGACGACTTGTGGTTATTACAAGGTTGATCTTAGCGTTCATCATGGTTTGCCGTGTCATGGCTTGGAGCGTTTCGACTCTTTTGGATGCAATCTTGATGGTAAAGCAGCTGTGGGATCGGGAGCTCCGCTCGTTCATTTGCGTCGCGGCGACTTGGCGCACCTTGTTGCCTTCGTCCAGCAGCCGCGTCACGTCGGCAGGGTCCCGCACAACCAACTGATGACGAGGATTCAGTTTATATATGCATGTTTATATAACATTCCGACACAAGATGTGCCATAATACAGTACCTAACCATCACAACACATACTTGTGAGTACTACAATCACATGGAAGTTTCGATGTAGATAGATATGTATTGTCGATTTGATACAAATTTGGGCAATCGAATCGCGCCGACCAAACCAATCTGATTGGTTGAATTTCATTGAGAAGGTGGTTTTGATTGGTTAATAATTTTGAGCTCATATGAAGTAGCCAATCAAATCGATTTAAATTCCAACGAGAAACCACGCCACAACACGACATTTCCCTCGAAAGCACAATAGGTTGGTAGTATTCTAGCGGGAGGTTCTTTAATCGAGGGATGTGGGTGGGTGGGTGGTGCTACTATCGAGTGCTACATATATCGAATACATGTTGTTCACGACCAAGTTTGAATTCTAAAGTGGAGGTACATGGGAAAATGTACACAAGAAGAATCAAGGATTTTTTAGCCAATCAGATTGCACGAAACCATGATCAATGTCAAATTAGTGTATGATTTCAATTAATGTGATACCAAGTACCGTTTTACATACAAAATGAACATTCAGTATATAGAATATCAATCGATCGAGATAGATTTGGCGATTTTGAACATAAAAAGTCCAAATTTTGGGGAAAACGACAATAATGTTGTAGTTCTTCGATCAAAAGAGGAGGTATGCATGTACCTCGGCCAAATGCTCGACGTAGATGCCCATGTCAGGGTGCTCGCGAATCTTGAGCACCTTGTCGGACGGGTTCAATAGATCCTTGATCACTTCGTTGTAAATCTCGAGAAATGACACTGTAATGAGGAACTTGGTCGTGTCGCTGGACTGCGCTTCGACGCGACTAGGAACAGTACATGCATCCTCTCGTCACGACGAGAGAGTTTCAGGAAGTACCCTACCGGAACAAGTCTTCGTTCATCTTGGGGATGATTCCGTGGTCGTCGCCTGTCCCCATCATCGTGTGTGTCTTCCCCGACCCGGTCTGCCCGTACGCAAAGATGGTGCCGTTGTACCCCTGGAACGCCTGGTCCACCAGCGGCTGCGCTACGTCGACATACACCTGCGACTGCACCGAGTCGGTAAAGTACGCGTAGTCAAACGTAAACTTCTTGTCGTCCGACGGGTCGTTCGGGTTCTCGATCGCGATGCACTGATCGGCGACTTTGACGATAGACCGCGAGCCCATCTGCGCCTCCTTGGAGCTCATCGGACGACACCGCACGGCCACCTTGACGTTGACATCGTTCGACATGGCCGCCCGCGGTGGGTTGTTGATGATGGGGTGGTGGCGATCAACGAAACGGGGCGGTGGAAACGTCCATACACGCACCGAAGTAAACGATTCGGTGCGTTTATTACTAGTAAACGCACCAAGAGTCGAAACGGGTGCATATTCGAATTGATTCATTTTGATTGACAAAATAAAATGAAACATTTACGATTATTGGAGATTTGGTATGAATTATCCCCGATATCTCGCCGAGCACCAATCTCTCCGATTGGCCAATATGAAATTACTTGTTGTTGATTGGCTATAATCGATTTTCGATTTGGCGAAGAGGATATTAGCGAATCCGATTTCTCGGCTCGATTTGTGGTAACATTAACGTTCACTCACATTTCGAAGGTCGCAATATATACAGTATTGTTTCGTTTTACAGTAATTTATACTAGTATTCTACTAGTATTATTGTGCGTCTGTAAACTTCCAAAATTCGCGTGGTTACAGTATACCAAATCAACATGGAATCACGCTGGAGTTTTGATTGGTTGAATATACTTGTCCGTGAAATTTACTCTCAAAATTGGATTAGCCAGTACGACGAAGTAACGTCAATGCGTGATTCCATTCGGTGGCGAGATAATTTGTACCGAATCCACAATACATATATAGTAGTACTACGAATTAATAGTATACTAACGTTAGTATATACTACATAATATACTAACGTTAGTATATACGTAGTATCTACTACATATCACCCTGGCAAGCCTGTACTGTACATAGTACTTATTGGCGTGGTCAGTCCGCCAACGCATGGCTCCTGGGTACTCTTCGGTGGCCTAGTTCTGGACATTCGGCCTCACAGACGTTGCTGCATGTGAGTGTACTTGTGGCCATGTAGTACGAAAGTCCAAACATTGGCTGCCAGGACATGCACACCAAGCAGTCCTCCATGCAAACGACAAAATCAACAGAGTTATTCCTTTTTATCACTCCACAGCATGCCACGGAATGGCAGAAGCGGTAGAATCGACTTGTGGAACTGCATGCGGACGCGGTCAACGGCGTTCTGGACCGTGTCGAGGGCTGGCCGGACGTCCATGTACACGGAAAGCGGCTTCCCCGGGACCGGCTGGCCCGAGTAAAAGTCGATCACGTACCGCACTTCGGTGCCATTGCGGTCCACGATCCAGTCGTGTCGGTCAAATGGGAGGTTTGCGACGCCAATCGTGTTGAGGAAGCGCGCCTTGGGGGAGAAGTCCTTGGGACGACCCATGAACCGAACAAGCTTGGGCTCGGGGCACTTGTCGCTTCCGTACGCATCGGGGTGGAGCGTGCGCTCGAACGCGACGACGTCGCTCCATCCCTTCTCGTTGATCGTGTTGTGGATGCTCACAATGACCTTCATGTCCCGCTCTTCGGGGTCCCATCCCTTGCGCTTCATCGCGTTAAAGTACTGCTGTTCGGATGGGTACTGCCACGTTTGCTGTCCTTCGGTCTGGTGCTGTGGGACGAACGAGCCCATGGGAATCGTCGACTGCACACGATGCGTGCTCAGCGGCACCTTTTGCTTTGGGTCGACAGTGTGATCCGCAGGCTCCATGAAGTTGAGTGCATTCAGGCCCGACTTGGCAGCAGCATCCGGACCAGAGTGATCCACCGGACACCCGCCACCGCCGCGCTGCGCGCCATGATCCACTGGACAAGCCGACATGTTTGTTCCCAACCTGCACTCCGTTAAAGTAATGAGTTTAAACGTCTTCGATTTACGTTAAACGTGTTTCGACAACAATCGTTCACAAAATCGAAGTACTCTTTTTTGACATGCATTGACTCAAAGCTGGTTTATTCATTTGCCACCGATTTTAAAGTTCATCTTTGTATGCTTAATAAAACCAGGTTTAACGAATTTAGTGGGTATTTTATCGCAATTATGTACTGTACGAGTACTGTACTGAACAATAACCTTACTGTATGGTGCAAAATGGGTCCCAATTGTTTTTAGAGAACTACTAGTAAGCTTACTAGTAACTTACATGTACTACACTACAGTACGCTGTACAGGACTGTAAGCTTATGCTAACACTTATTATGAGTATAATACTATTAATACGTACTAGTAGTAGTACTACTAGTAGTATTGAATTGTGATCAAATCATATGTTTAAAGTATACTGTACTGTACTTGGCTTAGGAGTCCACGGTGGTCAAATTCATGGCTATGCTTCCGACGACTAATTTGTCCAAAAGGTGATAGTTGGGCGAAAAATGGTATCTTACCGTATAGTGTATATGTATTGCAATGGATTAATCTATTGCGACTCCTGTAATAACTGATAATATTCTTGTAATAACTGATATTTACTTGTGAATTTGTTGAATATACTTCAAATTTGTATGTCGAAATGGATTAACAAAATGTTGAGAACGAGTGTCGGCTGGTTGTGAAATATCACCTATCGCAATACATATACACTATACGGTGTTGTTATTACGTGTGAAAAATCAGATATGACTGGAACTATTTTGAGCGGTTTGGAGATTCCAAAATTTGCCCTTCGTCCACATCCAAGCCACTTGGAAACGCGTCAGCCATGCCGCAAGCTACAACCGCAGCCATTATTGATGGTACCGCCTCCCTTCGTCTAATGCAATTCCGTCATGTAGTTCCTAGAGAGCTCTGTGAGCCTTGATCGTGTCCTAGACACAGAGACTGAACCTGAACCGACCCCCAAGACTACATCCTCGTCCTTGGAAGACGATGTCAAAGGGTTGCAAGCTCAAGTCAGCGCCCTCTCCGCCGAAGTGCGGTGCTATTCTCCCATAATACCACGTCCTCATTAACGTGGTGCGTAGATCACACATTTGCACGAACAATTGGAGTCCGCGGAGGCGGAGCGTCAGCCGCTGCGCAGATCCTTGTCGATGAAGGATCAAGTGGTATCCGACCTGACGGGACGCGTTGCGGACCTAGAACGCCGACTCGCGCACGACAAGGCCGAGTACGATAAGGCCGTGTCGAACCGAGATCAGTCCATCGACGCGTTGCAGTCCAAAGTCCGGGACCTGAAGCGCGAGACGAACGTCCTCACCGACGACTACGAGTCCGTCTCCGAGGAAAAGCATGAGTTGGAGGAACAGCTCGACAAGGAGCACACCCAGCTGATCAACCTCCAGGACGAACTGGCCGAGATGGACACCCTCGTCGCGGACCTCCGCGCCGAAATCGACCGATTGAACCAGCGCAACGAGCAGGATGTCATGGCCGCGGAAGAGGTACGCCATCATGGTTCCCCTCGAAAATGATAATACTTTTTAAAACTTATATATGTAATTTTCTCCCCCGGATGAATCAACCGCCCAACAATTGCCGGACCTGCGAAATATGATATATATCAAATTTAACAGGTATCTTCGTTGATTTTTCATTTCAGGCGTCCTTCATTCTTTTTATCCAATCATACTGATTTACTCGATTTATTGGCGATTTCAACAACGCCCCCCAAACTTCGCAAATGTAGGTGAAAACCACAATTCTGTAAATGTCTCGACACAATTATTAAATTTCAACGAATATAATTTATATAATATATATATTTCTTTCTTTCCCTAACCTTACTATGTTATTCAAAAATAAAAGGCAATGGGACTTTGTTTCAAGAAATAATATATATATATATATATATATATATATATCACTACTATTTATTCAAAAGCAAAAGGCAATTCGACTTTGTCTCGATTTGCGTCCATATATTTCGAGTATGCTCAGCTGCTATATATAGATTCAACTCAACTATCAAAAGCACTCACTATGTGTCCTTTATTACCCTTTGACTTTTGTGCTGATTCGCCAAATCTATCGATATCGATTCGTTGTGTATGTAAAGATCATCCAATATCACACTAATTTCAGTCACACACTAATTCAATGTTGACTTTGTCGAAGAGTGGATTTGATTGGGTACTTGATTCGTGATGTGGGATTTGATTAATTGATCAATCATTATCTGCCAATTTATTTAATCTGCTTATTCTACTGATAATCACCTGACTCGAATGTTTCGAATCGACTTGACAATAATACATATTTGCGTGAGGAGTAGGCACAGCACACCGCCACGGCCGCGCAACAGGCGCTTGAGGACGCGGCAGCGGACACGGCGGCCAAATTGATTGCGTTGACACAGGCCAACGAGGCATTGGAGGACGCATTGGCGGCGGCCGTCGCTCGTCATGCGACCGGCACGACCGAGTACCAAGGCCAGGTGGACGCGCTAAAGTTGGAGCACGACGCACATGTGACATCGTTGGAACGTCGCCAGCAAGTCGTGGACCTGGAATGTGCGACACTGCAAGCGGCCCTTGCCCAAGCCCAGGCGGCCGCTGCGTCGACGTCGACCGCGCAGGAAGACTTGGAGATTAAAGTAGCCCAGCTGGAGGCGGCCAACACGGCGCAAGCCAACGACTGGGCCAACGTCGAGCGCGGGTGGAAGAAACGTGTCCAGGAGCTGACGGACCGATGCGATGAGGCGGTCGCCGCCGCGGCGGACGTGCAGCTTGGACGGGACCACGCGGTGGCCATGAACGCCCAGCTGACGAGTGAAGTGGAGACGCTCAACCAGCGCAGTGTGTGGAACCCAGTGATCCACGCCGTGTGTTTGTTTGCGGGAATTGCGTTCGGGATGAAGGCATTCCAAGGCCCGGTGGCCTAAGTTGGCATATATATATATATACTTTGAAGTATACATATACATATATATAATATATACATACGGGTGTCAGAGTACGACTGGTACATTATTGGCATACTAAGTAGAGTGGAACATCAAACGTTATTTGGTACTAACATTAATAACTAAACTTGCAGTCGTGAGTTCGACGACTGGAGGAACAGGGGTTGTATTTTGTCCAATGAAAATCGATTTAGGGTTTGATTGGATGAATAAGTCGGCACATCAAAATTAGAGTACAACCGGAACAGACCAGTGTAGAGAGAGCTAACAAGGGCATCTGCAAAAGCAGGCTCAGGTTAATGGCATAGTTAGTGCAGGAATGACAAGAGCGCGGAAGCTATTAGAGAGGATTTGCAACTTTTAATCAAAGGGTGGGTCAGTTGAGCGCATGATGGGTAATGTTGAAGTGCCAAACTTTGCCGCAATTATTATTCGATCCAATAGATCGATTTAGCAAGTCGTAAAATATTTAATATTATGGACCCATTTCAAACCAACAACATGAGCGTGCTTCTGTCGGTGGCCATCGACACCGTTGGTATCATCATAAAGCTCTACTTGGTCGAATAAACCGATTGGGCATGGCGAATTGCAGCTAACTATGGACGACCGTCTGCGTCGCCACTTGGCCTGCAGCGAACCGTCGGATGAACCATCAACTCGTGGCCGGGATTCGTCGACAACCTTAGACGGTGGTTTTGGTTGTCTGTTGAAGAGGCGGTCGATATCTCTGCGACAAGGTTTCGGCACGTGTGCAAGGTGTGGCCGCGTCCCGAAGTGGTGGGGCGACGTGGGTCTTTGTAGCCTGTACGGCATACCGACGAAAGCAGCGAATGTATGCAGCCATCGAGGCGCGGACTCTCTTGGTCCGGTCGCTGGCCACCGCTCCTTCGTGGGCGGCATACTGCGATGCCACTGACTCCAAGTGTTCAGCAGCATCTACTTGTGTTATCTGCACATTAACGACATCATCAACGTTGTATGTTTGGGTGCGATCTGTGTCGTGAACTTGGGCCTTGGGGTTAATGTGGTGTTCATGACGGTGCGCGCAGCTGTGAGCAGTGACCGACCAACGCGAGACCTGCAAGTACGTGAGTCCTGCCGCGGATCTCGCCCAAGCCCCCGAGTGCTGCGATGTCATGCAGTCGCCTGTGTGACTCGCGTGCGGCTACATTTTTGTCGCGAATGTGTAGCCCAGTGGTGCCAATATCGAGAACAGTCTTGTCTGCTCTGTCGCGCCGTTGCGCATGTCAGTAGGCCACTGATAGTCCTGGCAATCCAATGTACTTGGACGTCGGCATCGGCTGGTTTCCGCAACTAATCTAATCCTCAGGTCATACTTTAGCAACCTAAGTTAGTAGCGACACCCTAACTACACGACGGCCTTACTAGTACGTTATAGCTTCTAGTTTTCGCTATTTACAATGCCATATCATACCGGTACGTCCACACTCTTGACCTTCCAGTTCGTGTCAAGATGTAACGGCGACGAATGCTGTGACGATACAACGCACACAAAATGAAACGGCTGACCGTTACAGAGATTAACATGACGTGGCACTTTCCTGGGTCAGTTCGACAATGTACGCGTTGGCAAGCTTGGTGAATTCGGCCATGTGGTTGTAGTCGATGGTCTCAAGCGTGTCGTTCGAGGTGTGGATGTTCTTGTTCAAGTCCTTGGAGTCGGTTTCAAACGGCATCGACCCGGGGTACCCCGTCTTGTTCCACGAGAAATGGTCCGAGCAGCCGTAGCCACACGTTGAGTGGGACACGGGGATGTCCAAATACGACTTGATCAGCGTCTCCAAGAACGTGTTGAGGTCCTTGTTGGTGAAGTCCGTGATCAAACTCACGACGGGCGTCGTGCCGGGGCGTACCCACCCCGTCATGTCCTGCTGCATTTGCGCGTACACGGGTTTGTTGGCCGTAGCGTACTCCGTGGCGACTTCCTTGGACCCGAGCAAGCCCCATTCTTCGGCAGAGTACCAGTGGAATTCCACAGGTCGGACGGGGGTCCACTCGGGGGTCGCCAGCAAGTACTTGAGCGATTCCAAGATGGTCACGGTGCCCGACCCATCGTCGTCTGCCCCCGGTGCAATGTCGCGTTTCACAGGGTCCTTCCAGTCTTTCCAGTTGATCGAGTCTTGATGCGCACTCACAATGACAATGTCATTTTTGGGGGTTACGGCTGTAGGCTCGACGCGGGCGATCACAGAGTACTGGCCCCACGCGTGGTTGAACTTTCGCACCGTTACGTTGACGTTCGAGTTGCCGGTGGTTGCCACCGCCTTGACCACTTGGTCGTAGATCCAACCGCAAGACTGCTTGCCTTCGGTCGTGTTGTAAATGCGGTTCTTGAACTGGTTCACAAAGCTTTCTAACGACAACTTCAAGTCACTGGTTTGAATCTTGGCGTTAAGCGCCCGCACGAGCTGGGGGTACGTGGCCACCGACGGATACGGGGAGATCCCTTGGACGTGAATTTCCTGGGCCTGTCGGGCCGCCCCCAGGTCAAACACGTGCTGCCAGTCCCCGTCAGTGTCATCCAAAAACCCGATATCACGAAGGGCAAGATCAGCCACTTGGTCGTCAGTCATCCATTCGGCGCGGTCGTCGGCGAGCCGAATTAGCCGCTTCCCGTCATGTTGCGTGGAGGCAAATATGACGGCTGCGGCAGCTGAGAGTAGCGTGAACTTCATGGCACACACTGGGAAGATGGACTCGGTAAATTGGAAAATGACCACTGAAGCTAGAAATTGAGTTCGAAGTGGGTGCTTCCTTGGGTTTGCTGGATTCATTGCGATAACAATAGCAATACTGTAAGGTGTATGACACTGGGGTGTTGGAGTTGTTGGACCTAGTTATGAATGTTCGTAAGGTATTCTTTGTGGAAGGTTGTCAGTAGAACGTAATAATAGAATCGATTGACCCGATGTATACTCATTGTCATGGGAAATCGGTTAGAAAAGGTTAGTTCGTTCCATGATCAGTCAAGTGCTTCGTCAAACAGGTCGTCGAACCAGAAATCTGTGCGTAGAACTCTTCGTCAACCCAAATACACGCACTCCGGAGTACCATGCCCAGATCACGTTGACATATCCCATAAGTTAATCACATTCACTGGTTTAGTTCGGCAAGCAGCTAAAGTTACTGGAGTCGCGCACCTAACTTACCAAGCTAACAGTAAACAACATTCCCCTCTCGCCTTCAACCTAGTACGTATCCCCCACCCGCCCCCCTCAAGCTCAACTCAGACTATATCCATTCAATACAAAGGTTCGCCACCGACTCGGGCTGTTCATGTCGTTTGTCGTGTCGGCGGCGCTGTTTCCTGGCCGCCGCCTACGAAATCCGCCAAGACGGCTATACCAGTGGGGGGGCTCATGCAAATGCGGTCACAGCGATCGTCGCGTTGGTGTTGCTCGTGGCATCCGTCGCTGATACAGTGATTCAGTTGTACGTGTTCACCCCAGACGAATTCGAACACGTCGACGCCCCAACTGCGTGTGGTTCCTGTGGCTAGTTGATACGAGTGTTCGCTAGCAGTATCGTGTGTATGTGATCATTCCCCTGGCTCAGAGTGTCGCAACGGGGGGGCTCGTAGGGGGTGCACCCCCTTCGTCCCGATGTGAGTGGTCGCGTTGCACGTTGTGTATCTTGGGGAGGGTGGTGTACACCAACATGTACACGGGTCGGTTTCACGTGCTTGTGATCGTGGGAATGGAAGGCTGCATTGTTCTGACATGGTCATTGGTATCGATTGCAGCCATGGTGCTTACCCCAACCACATCGATTGCTGCAAAAACAGTAAGGTATGTGGTCGTCGTGCTGTGGATTCTGGTGCCCGTCGCCATCTTGGTGTACCTAGTCATGCTCGTGTGGTCGGCGTGTGCGTCATACTCCCCCATCCAACGACATCCAGAACTCAATCGCCATTGGAACGATCCCAACTACATGGCAGATTAACAACCAAGATCAACACCAGCAGTACTGTACCATACCCCCAGCCCCACGCCGGCCCATAACGTTATATTGGAGTCGTCGATCGCTCCAGTGTGTATATTGAACATGGATTTATTATACTCACGCCGATTCTGACATGTAATCGCAAGAGTAACTCGGACTGTGGAACTGCTGTTTGCACTGGGTTTTCAGGTGGTACTGTACATTACGTTCTACTTCGTTAAACGCACGATCGCAGCAATCTTGTTACTAGTCTATAACGTAAACGCACGATCGCAGCAATCTTGTTACTAGTATGAACATCGACTTTACATCATTTTATTAGCGGGGTAGACGGAATTTGAAAGTTTCCGAGTTGTTTCTTGCATCGCCCTCGTTGATAGCTGTGATTCAGACTAGCCGGTTTGGGGGCGATAGGCTACACTCGTGTTGGTGTCGTAACAAGGCTGATATGGGGTACTAAGAAGGTACGTTTAGGCATTGACGAAAAAAGGAGTTGTTTGTTTGGTGTTGGTTGGCAGTGTTAACATCCCTAGGGGTACTCCAAACTCTCCACTTGATCTGCCTCGTGGTGAAAGTCAAAGCCACAACAGGCCAAGTCGTAGCCATGGCGGTCCATGGCATACGGACGGTATATTTAATCTAACGTTGCTGGCAGAATCGGATCGGGGGTCGATTTATAAGCTGTTTGCTATGGACGAACGCAGCCAACGCAATGCAACCGTGAGCCAAAACAGCACCGATTGCTACGTGCGCAGCTTGAGTGCGACGATGCACCTGCATGTAGCGCAAACGATTTCGGTCCGACGTTGATGCTGCTGCTGTCGTCGACACTACAACGTCGGGCCATCAGCTCCTCAGTTAACCTCCCAGCCGACACCTCAACCAACCCCTCAACCTACACCTGAAGCAACCCTCCCCTGAATTGAAAACGCAGTTATCACTGCAGCCGACCCCTCAATCAACTCCTGGACCTACTCCACGGCCTAGCCAGCCCCCTGTCAACCCCCCAATCAATTCCTGCGTCTACTCCTGCACCTGTGATGTCTACAGACGCCAAGCCAGTGGCAAGCAGGAGACGCAGTGCCGACGACTCGTCATGCTTCTGCTACTGTACTGGTTCACAACGATCAGGCTACAGTAACAAACTTTCCGATCGCTGTGTGATTGATTACTGTACTCACCCAAACCTCTGTCACACTATTTAGAGTGCGCTTTATACGGCGGATCCGGATACGAACCATGTACTTCGAGGTAGGAGAGTAACACAGTGGATTGCATTTTTCCACGTGGACAAAATGAGCATGTCCGGCCATGCGCACGCGGCGCGGGATTCGTATGCGTCTCAGGCAGCGAAATGGAAGAACACGACGGATTCGCCATGGAAGTCGGGCGGCACGTCGTCCACTGCATCTAGCTCTATCTCGGAACTCGTGCTCATCTCGGAGCTGTGTTCGTCGGTCGGCCAAACGTCATTCCCACCGCGGGATGCACTCAACACGTTCCTGCGCCACATCCACACGCTCGATCACACGTACGTCTGTGAATTGCTGGAATTCAAGCTGGAAGATTCGTTGTGGCAAGTTGTCGCGCGCGCGTTGGCCGTGCTGGACGCGCTCTTTACCACGGCGGCTGCAACCGCGTACCTCGACTACTTTTCCGCGCGCAAGGGTCTGATCGATCACTTGACGCGACATGCCAAGCAAACGGTCAAGTCCAGGGCCGAGAAGGTCTACATTGCGCTTGACACACATGTACCCACACCGACCGAGGACGACGTAGCCGCCTTCAACGAGGCCAGGTATGACGACCACCCGCCGCCGCCACCGTATCACTGGGCGACGCCGCCATCGTCTCATCGTCAAAGCAGCCTTTCGTCTGAAATGCGCAGCCGCAGCAGAAGCAGCAGCTCTAACGTCCTGCATATGAACCCATCGCCACGAGTCTCGCACCAGCATCCAATGACCTCGGAACGAGCGTCCATACCTACTTCACCAAGCCAGGACCGTAATTCCTTTCCATCTCCCCGCCACACTCCGTCGACGTTCTGCCCGCCTACACAAGTCGACCTCTTGCTCGGCTCGCCCATCCACTCCCACCAGCAACCACCATGTCCACCTTCATCTCTCTTTGCATCATTGACAGTCACACCTTCCTCGCGTACTTGCTACGAGTCCACAACCTCCGCGGCCCCGTCTGCCTTCTCGTTCCTGTCTGCCCCATCCTCAGCATCGCCTTCCTGGGCACCGCCATTCCACTCGTCTTTTAGCTTGCCGAATACAGCACCACCACCATCCTCCCCCTCCCATCAACAGAGTGAGGCGTGGCCGACGCAGGGACCGCCGCCGTCTTCTTCGATGGGGTTTCTCACGCCACCGCCGTCGCCCCCGTCCAACACATCCTCGTCGTCGTCGTCGTCGGCATCCCAGTGTTCGACTGCTACGTCGGCCTTCTCGTTTCTCCAACGATCATCCCCAGCGCATCTGACTCAAACCCAGGCTTCCGCTACGTATGCAGTGCCCCCGAACCCCCCGTCTATATCGGGGTTTTCATTTCTGTCTGGCCCGACCTCCATGTCCCCCAAGGTAGTAAGTAGTACTAGCATTATTTATCATTCGACTAGGATGATTCATATCAAGGATATTTCCACGTGGTTTCGTCATACAAGAGTCCTGATAGTTTTTTAACGCCAAAACCGTTCAATTTGGAATGGTTCACCTTGAATCTATGTATATATATATATCTACCAACTGATATGAACGAATACAAGTAATCCAAGTCGGAACAGCTATTATATATGTACCACGTCGTCCAAATATGTATCTCTTTTACTAGTATTCTGTTTGGTGATTTTAAAAAGATAGTGTTTTGTATATTAAATGTTGTAATACCACACCCGAAATCATATTGTCATATTATTACAGTACCCAAAATGTGGACTTTTGTGCGAATTCTTTGCCAAATCCATCGTTCGATTCGTTGTCCTGATTTTTGTATGGAACGAATGTCGAGTATCACACTAATTTCAGTCACACACACTACTTCAATGTTGCATTCATTCGTCCACGAGTGAATTTGATTCGCCACTGGAAAAGTGTTGTGGGTTATATTGATTGGTCGATCAAAATTGTCTGTCGATTTGGTTCTTCTGCTCCTTGGATGGACCCCCCACTTGAATTTTTCGAATCGACTTTATATGATCATCATCATCATAATAGTATTTTGACATTCGTAGCACCTTCCGACATCCACGTCGGACCGCATCCACGATGCGTTTGCCGATCTCACCTGTGACACTGTCGTACATGACGACGATACATTTGCGTATAACGACGCCGACGGCAGTTTGCAGTCGGACTCGCGCAGCGCCACGTCGGACGACGAGTACCCCCCCCAGCCCCCTCCCCCCATATCCGCTCGAGAAGAATTCGACACGCTCAAGAAGGCGGGGCTGGCGCGCGAAGTGATTTTGGAGGTCGAACTGCCTGCGGGGCCGATGGGGATCATCCTGGACCGGACGTCGCCGGATGCGGCCATCCTAGCGCAGTACGCGCCCCTTCCCACGGGTGGCAAAGGGTTCGTGGAGCTGCACCCGGCCATCGTCCCCGGCTGCCTCCTCGTAGCCCTCAATGGCAACTCGATCGAGCACTTGGCGCTGCCAGAGCTCGGGCCCGTCCTCGCGGCCGCCACGACCTACCGCCGCGTGCTCACGTTCAAAAAGTTCATGGTCGGATCTCGCGTCATGCACCCGACTAAGCTTGGAACGGTATACGTTCCCCCTCAAGACATAATTCATCACACATCGCCTTCGAAAACAGAAGCATCATCGCCGTCGTCGTCAGCGTCGTCCGGCCCTCCAGCCGCCGCGTCATTATCCGGACACAACCCCCCCCCTCAAGGAACGACCGGTCGCGTGGTTCCCACTACGGCCAACCAATATGCGACGACGTCCGCGTTTAGTTTTATGCAAACGTCTCCAGTAACGCCCCCACCACAGTACGAGCCAGTAGATGACCCTGTGACAACGTCGGCGTTTGGGTTTATGAAGGCGGCGCCACGAGCTCATCCCCACGGACAAATACCTCCATCGTCGTCGGGCTCTGCGTTTTCATTCATGTGATACAGTCACACGAGTGTATGTATGCCCACCAACTAACTCCGGAGTAGTATATTGATATTGATATTACGCTGTAAAGTTAACGTCACTCAGCGGGCACTTGATGGCCTCGGCCGCGCACTAAAAAGCTGCGTTTGTAGCTATTGTATGTGTGGCGGGCTCCAAGGAAGCGGTGTGGTTAGGCTGCTGGAGGTGGGTTTCCACGGTCGGGGAGTGGGGTGTCGCGGAGGCCGAATCGGCGGGGGAATGCTGCCCGTGGGTGGTAGTGCGGAGCAGCGGCGGGAGTGCCGGAGTCGTGTCTGGGCCTGCAGGTGGGCACGGCATGCGGCGATCATGGCCACGTTGGGCCACCAACTAACTACCTACGGTAGTATATGCCCCTACTACTACTTACGCTAGTAGAGACGCTTTGTCGCGTGGGCTGTGGAGTACTATATGATTCGTGTTGTTGACTGAACAGCATTTGACGCCCTCGTTCGAATAAACAATACCCTAAACGATACTCCCAGTATCTTCTCAACTTGCAAGGCAGGGACTAGGTGGGATACATATATGATGTTTTGGTTGATGTCGTCGATACCATAGTACACACAGATTTAAACGAATAACCAAGCATGACATTCCGGCTTCGATAAAAAACCCAGTGTTCGAAGGGGTAGCGTCGGCGTTGCTGGACATGACAGACCACTAGTGCATGTTTACAATCCTTGCCCTTTGATATATAATCGCTGGTAATGTTGGACGGGAATAGCCACAACAATGACTTGTCATCAGTAGAGGAAGTCGTAGGTACTGTATGTAGTACGTCCAGCTAGTACGCGGCCGAGGCCATTAAGTGCCCGCTGAGTGATTTTAACTTTACAGCGTAATATCAATATCAATATACTGTATGTAGTACGTCCAAGATGATAGAGGTGTAATCGATGGCTTCAAAAAATTTGGTTAGATGTCACAAAGCGACATAGCCTAAACCATAAGAGTTTCCAACGCCGAAGCGCGATCTCGTCCTTGCCGAGGGAGATGCTAACCGTCTCTCGGTTCAACGAACACAATTTTCAAGTTGAAAATTAACGGTACCGGTCATTGCAATTGGTCCCGAGTTCAATCCCAGCTCACGTCGATTTTATACATACTGAAATCAAGTCTAAAATCCATCGATAATATCAAGCTTGATTGTTCACAACCAAATAAGAAGCAGCAACACGAGCTTTGCACGCGCATAGCCGTCGCCCACCACCAGTCGACTCTCCACGTACAACAGGTCTTTACCTAGCATCATTTAGCAAATCGGACTTCGACAGGCAAACCCCATCCCTTTCTTCTGTTGCAAGCTATTTCGGGAAATAATCCTAGTGCAAACTATGCTACAGCTCAAATAAGCCCTTGAAGACAGTTTAATATCCTTTGATCATGAGGCATGTGCGTTTATTATGCAGCTATAAGACAGCTATCCCCCAGTCGGTTTACCACGCCATCGCTTTGTTGCTCAGACGGGGGACTGGCAAACGTTGGGGGGGCAGCGACCACCCAGTCGCAGAACCGGTCCGTGTTGTCGAAACTTTCCGTGTTGACAAATTTGCCCAAGTCTTTGGCTGTGGTTTGGATGTTTCTGTCGTTGCGGAGCACTTGGGTTACGAGTTTGGCTACGTACGACCCATAGAGGGACCCCTTGTGCACCACGGCGGGGGCCACCCCCAGAGCTACCATGTTGTTGGCGTGGTGGAATTGATCCATGATTACAGGACACGGAATCTGTGGCACGCCTACATGTATGTATAACGTTAATGGGGACCGCAACTTAACATATATATATATGTTTAAGGTAGATGATATTGACAGGTACACAAACAGGAGGGGGGGGTCTTACCACTGCGTAGTGCGATGGTGGTGGTGCTAAAGCCACCGTGGTGCACAATGCAGCTCATTTGAGGAAACAACCACAAACGGGGAGCTGACGTTTCGACGCAAATAGTGTTGTATGGTACTGGACCAGTGCTGCACAGGGGGGAGGCATGAATTCCGCCCAGCTAGCGGCAACCACAGCGCGACACTTGACGGCGTGGCACACGTGAAGGGCGAGTTGCAGCAACGGCAACGGCTCCATGGTCGGCATCTCGCCAAACCCAATGTAAATCACGGGCAATGTTGTCCTTGTTTTGAGGAATCGCTAGGGGGAAATGAAACGTACGTCGCAGTGTTCACAACACGCCCTTAGGTACATGCTATTTCGGGCAGCACGTACTTGCAAGGACGTGGACGACCCTGGATGCTGCTGCTTTGGAGGGGGATTGTATCTACTGCCGCTGCTGCTATTGATGTTAGCCATTGTCGTGGAGGCTGGTGGGATGGTGGCGGGGGGCGAGGCAGTAGTAGTTGGAAAGAGAAAACCCCCGTACACGACTTTGTGTGGAGGGTAATCAGCAGGTACTTGTCGTTTAGGGCCACAGAGCAACAAAGAGCTGGCATTGTAGATAGTGATGTTGTCATTGGTTTGCATAGCGTGGACGATACCGAGGGGGGATGTGATGGGGGGCAGCCCCAGCGTGTGTCGCCGCCACTTGTTGATATGCTTGCGTTGCTGAAGCCATCCCTTGGACGCAACGATCGAGTGTGACCAGTGATTGGAGCAAAGAAACCCGAACGGCACGCCGGCTAGCACCCAGTGGGGAAACTCGTTGGTCGGGAGGGGACATGTGCCGAGGAATAGCGGTACCCACTTCAGCCCGTGCTTTTCGGCAACGCTGTACGTCTGCGCGATCGACAGCACCCCCCCGCACACGACCACGTCCGCTCCTGCCAACGCAGAAACATACGACGCCAATACATCGTCTATATTGAACCGATCGTTCCACTCGGTGAGCATCTCTAGGCATTTCATGGACCTCGCCACTCGAAAACGGTGCTGGAACTCAATGTCAAACAGACCTCCGAACACGTCGCCTGCAATCGGGGCAAACGGGAGGCCAAACTCTGCCGTGACCAGCGCCTTGAGACGCGCTTCCGTCGCGATGGTGACGTCGTAACCGCGGGCTGTGAGGGCTTGCCCTAAGATGCAGTACGGCTGCACGTCGCCACGGGGTCCCACCACGACGATGACGATGCGGCGCCGGGGAGTGGAGGACGTGTGGGGGGGCTGCTGGGTGGTGGTAGATGGTGGCATGTCGGCGTAATAGTTAGTTTGAATCGACAAAGTCAACCGATGTGGTTTCGAAATGGCAAAATCCAAAGTGACTGTAGTGGATGTGAAAATCGCCGGGGGCGGCCACCTCTATTATTTCCGTGTCGCAGTTTTATATGGTATGCGAGATCAGGACCTGGTTTGGTGGAATTGACAGAAGTACGTCAGTGAAATGTATCGACCATGGCCTGCGCAAACAACAGTAAACTGACGCACGCTCTGGCTTCAAGTAGATGTCGTTGGAGTATAGAATACCTGCGGACATTCAAGGATCGTTTGGATTGCAAGTGGACTGTACCTGGAATGGTGCATTGGTTCCAATGGTGGGATGAAGCTGGGGTTAGTGGTAGGTTTTGGCGATAATCCGCAGCGGCAGCAACAGAGTTGATGGCTAGGAACTCGGTCTCCCAGAAGGTGACATCACGAGAGTATATCAGTAGATGAGAGTGCAAATGCATGAGGGTATAACCCTTGCGATCTCCACGCTGACGCCCCTACGACCCCGAAACAAAAGAAGACCGCTACTGTAGCCGGTGGCAGAGGCCGCAGCTGAAGGATGATAAGGGCACAGTCGCAGCCCCTTCTCGCACAATATTCAACTGTGTTTGGTGTGTCTAATGGAAGTACAGCAGCGCAAGTATCTTGTGCTGCTGCCTTGAACCTTCGCGAACTGTTCGTACAAGTATTATGAACTGCACGAGTACGTACATACTGTAGTACTTCAGTAGATGAATTTGTGTCGAGGTGCTCAAGAATAGGAGAGATACTATAATTCTAGAAAACATGAATAGATATATTTGGTTCAAAACGTTTTTAAACTTGGTCTATGCTACGCAGTATACTTTTAATATAATTAGTCGTATTTGATGTGATATTTGCCAGTTACATACAAAATACGTTTGCATTTCAAGTTTCCCCAACATGCATTTTCGTGGCATCACGACAACATTTTGGATTGTGGCTCAGTTTCCATCGCACAAGCCCAATGCAGCTACTTACATATGTAGCCTTCACTTACACCTGCTACTACTACTACATGCATGTACAGCACCCCTAACGCATCGTTTCCTAATTTAACACAGGATGGCCAGTAGTACTGGATAACTTCTGTATGATCTGGCCACCGCGACTGTATCATTCCAAAGTCCGATCGACTAAATCCACCAACGGAGAATAAGCACTGTGTAGTAGTTTGCCATTAGAAAAGCACCAAAATGGAGATATTCTACGACACGATCAGCGGCATAAGCAACCACTACTACGTCGTCCCGTGGTGGCCAACGTCAATGGCATCAGCATAGATGAATGGCTTGTGGCACGGTCACCTGAACATTAATACATGTAATCATGTAGTAGTACTACAGTTACTGGCAGTACCAATGAGGGGCAACTTTACCGAACTTTGTAAGTTCAAGTTGCATCGAATATTGATCAAACAACTACGATTATGTGGCTGTTGGATGTGGCGGACGTGATAGAGTTCAATCTGATGGACTGGAGCGACATCCAGACCAGTGATTCCATTAACATTATGGTAAGTTTACTTTCGAACATTTCGCAAGGGAAAACAGCGAAGTCATAGACATGTTGTGATGTAAATGACCATGTCTAGTGATGCGAAAGCCAACATGGTGCCGTACCGGTACATATCTCTTGATAATAAACTCGCGTTTCCAATGTTCATCGTCTCGCCTTCCCAGTGTGAATCATCGATAAACAAGTCCGAGCCACAGTAATTGGACGATAAGCGACGATACCACGTACATACATGCCACGTTGAAGTAAGAGATTGAGTTTGTAAGTGCAATCTCAGCCCAACACTGTCCACGTTTACATTCAATAAACGACGATTCATGGCACGAGTATACCATGGTTGGCCCACATCCCAGTCGTGTCGTGTGGATTTGAACCCTCGATGTAAACTGCCTACTACTGTATACTAGTAAACTCTTTTGCTATTAGTTTATCGTGTGTTCCTCTTAATTTTGATAACAATTTTTTAAAATAGTGTATTCTAATGTTACTATTTTACTACGTAGTAATAGTAATTGAACGATGTCAAATGGTATTAAAATACCATTTGACATGGTTCAATATTATCATTGTGAGGGATATACTACGGACGATTTGATTGGCCACGTCCCCTGCCTCGACTGTGGGGATAATCCTCATCATTTCAAGACCCAACATCGTCTCCGCAACACCATGGACTTCGCGCACTTGCTCCCGCCTACATGGAAGAAGAACGTTCAGCTTTGGCTCGAAGATGACATCCCGTCCTATGACGTTGGTGGCTTTGTCGTTGGTGGTAGGTTACTAACTACCCCTGTGTATCACTCAGCCCACAAACCATACCAACTCCATGGCGTATCTGACCTCTATCGACATCATGGTAGAGACCGACCAAGTAGCATACTTGCTCGGCAAGTCGCATGGCGTGCTCGCTGGCGTTCCCTTCTTCACAGGTACAACACACAAAGGATTTTGCCGGGCAAATATGTATACATTCGATGGATGCATGCATAATACCTTTGAGAAACTCACCAATGTTTTTTGTAGCTGTGTTCGAAGCGGTCGACTGCAAAGTGGAGTGGCAGGTTCCCGAAGGGTCCGTGATTGATCCATCGACCGTCGCGTCGGGGAAGGTCGTGGTGGCCAAAGTGTCTGGCAAGTGCCGCAACATTCTCTTGGGCGAACGCACTGCACTCAACATTCTCACGCGCGCCAGTGGTATTGCCACCCAAGTACGTCTTGCATTTCTTCGATTCAGTTCTCGTTAACTACTAACGACAACAACTGCGATGGACTAATCAACGCTTGGTCATTGCAGGCTTCCGCGGCGGTCAAGGTGGCGCGCGGACTGGGCTGGCACGGACACGTGGCCGGTACACGCAAGACCACGCCTGGCTTTCGTGTGGTGGAGAAGTACGCGTTGTTGGTGGCTGGGGCCAGCACCCATCGCAACGATCTGTCCCAAATGGTCATGCTCAAAGGTAAGGTTACGTTTCTGCGAAGCCAAAATAGGGACATACTGAAAGTTCCTCACACTAATTGTGAATTCACACACACCAATTACAGGTTCCTGGGTGGAACTTTCGAACAATTTCTGATTGGGTGACTGACTTTTGTTCTGCCTATGCTTGTGCACTTCAACTTGGTGACGTGGCATGATCCTAGACAACCACGTGTGGGCATCCGGCAGCATCACGAACGCGGTCAAGAAGGCCAAGACGGCCGCGGGGTTTTCAATGAAGATTGAAGTCGAATGCCGCAAGCTGGAAGAGGCTGTCGAAGCGGTACGACTGCCTGATGACGTAATCCCTTCACATCACATACTGAGTAGGCGCATGCTGGCGCCGATATTGTCATGCTCGACAACTTTGAGCCCCCGCAACTCAAGCAAGTGGCGGCCACGTTGAAGCAACAGTTCCCGCACCTGTTGATCGAAGCCAGCGGTGGCATCACTATCGACACGATGGGCGACTATGTATCTCCTCATGTGGACATCATCAGCCAGGGCAAACTGACCCAAGGTATGTCGATATATACAACATGGAATGATGAGATATGACATTGAAGTTCAACGTGAATGTAGGGTATGGGTTTGTGGACTTTTCGTTGAAGATTCAAAAAAGCGAAGGCATTCTCGCCGACTAATAAGTGTGTTGGTTGTTAGTAGTGCTAGACAAGAATCAAATGTAGTACTACTACAACTACTCGTACGTTTATTTTGGCAGAGTCCATACAGCTTGGCGCAGTTGCATGATTGAGAACAGCAGAGGCGATCTCTACTACAGTAATTAGTAGCCATAATTTCTTCACAAAGTACAACGGATGAGCCAGGAAATTTCACGATTTCATCCAGCCTACATGTACTTTTTGTCCTGTGGGTTCGTTCAATCTACATACTTGAGAACAGTATATAGATACTAGTAATACTACCTCCATCCGAAAAAGAATGTACGACTTCATGAATCAAACTATACCATTAGGGCCCGTCTGGATGCCACCCACCAATATTATGGGATATTGGAATATTGAATAAAACACATTTTTCGACATTGCAGGAAATTCTTGGGTTTCAAGATCCAAGAATGATTTTGGGTGGTGTGTCTGGATGCCATAGAATTAAAGAAAGTTCGGAAATGAACAGCCAATCAGAGGATAGTTTAGACGTCCAGATCCGAAACCGTCTCTGTCATTTGGCGCGCAACTCCGAACGCAAGATGGACGACGGAAGGGCCAGTTGGGACGACGAGAAAGACTTCACCTGGATGAAGGAAATGATTCACCAGGTGCATGTGCTGGGCAAGCGAGCCAACAGTGGCTTCAAGCGAGAAGATTGGCATGCCGCAACAACGAAACTCAACTCCGACCACGCTGTCATCTACACGAAAGAACAAGGCAAGTCGAGAAGCGCCGAGATGAAGAAGCAATACGCGCAGGTTTCACAGATTACGAAGACGTCTGGTATTGGGTTCGAGGCGGCAACGTGCCGGTTCATTTGCTTGGATGGGTCGTGGGCGCACGCGGCGGCGGATGGGCCATCGACGTAGGAAGGCAACCACGGTGGCCTTTCTCATTCCGAAATGCCCCACAATTCAACGCGCACTGTCAATATCGTCAAAATATTCTACTCATGAGTAGAATATTATTTCTTGTGGTTTTCACGATATTTCTGATAAAATTATGGAATATAACTCGGTCAAGAAATGGCATCCAGACACGCCAAATTGAAGTCGCTGAGATTCTTGAATATTTTGCAAAATTATCGCGATATTTCTCAATAAAAGTGGTATCCAGACGGGCCCTTAGAACCAGGAGAGTGTGTGAGCGTAATAAAATACAACGTAGTACTAGAATACTAGTAGTAGATATTAATAGTATCCTATTTCGAACGCTATACATTATAGTATTCCATTTTCTCATCGTCATCAATGACCACGAGCTAAAAAATTACTTGGAGAGTTTACATCGCAAATACGACTGTCGTACTGTACTAAATGGATTGTGGTGGCAGTGTAGGTTACTACTCGAGTACACAATAACAATAACCCAACTTGTACTCGTACTGTAGTACATACTGTACTTTTTCAACCTGAGACCTGTTGATGGCACTTGAGTCTGTCAGTAGCATGCCGTTGCCACTCGACCGGCAACGCCACTTCGTCGTCCACAGCCATGAGCCGCACCAGTTCAAGCCCCGCCCGTGCAATGCTATCATGCAAATGATTCTGCTGGGGACACTTCTCACGATCGAGTCCTTCGATACACGCCAAGAACACGCCCAAAAGACTCACTTGATATGCCCTATCATCACAAACAAGAGTGAGATATCCTCGTATACGATATATATTGGATACTGACCGACGAGTCATTGGCGGCGGCGGTGTGAGGCGGAAGAGGTATTCGATGCAGGACAGTGACGCGGGCGTGTCGACGGAACGTCGAACGTCATGGGTATCAGTTGAAGAGCCAGCCAGAACCATCCAGTTACACAATAGTGTGATCGTCAACGGGGCAAACCTCGCCGCTGTTGTGCTATGGGAAAAGTGGGAATTAATACTATTATATGACATAGTAACGTTATACGTTATCGATGTACTAGTCAATTAGTACTCCGGAGTACGAATTTCCAGTGAATTTCGTATTGTGGCGTGGTTTCTCGTTGGAATTTAAATCGATTTGATTGGCTACCCCCGATGAACTCAAAATTATTAGCCAATCAAAACCATCTCAATGAATTCAACCTATCAGATCGATTGTGGATCGGTTTGGTCGGCGCGATTTGATTGCACCCCTTCCCCAAATTTGTATCAAATCAACAATATACTAGTAGTATGCATTTGCTACAAAATGCCCAACTATTTGCGTCATACAACCGATCGCAAATCTCGCCGCAAGAAATAATTTCATTGGCGTTCCCCATTTGCACAAAGGAAAATGAAAAATAATATAGCCAATCAGCGACAAGCATATTCAGATCGACCAATGGGAACGAATCGCGATGGGATTATTTTGGGGTCCCGAAATTCAAACTACTAAATATCACTTATCAATAATATATATAGAGAGACTACACATGCACTGTACCGGTGTTGCTGCAACCATGCAAACGGTGTGGTGGGGTGATGGACGACAACGTCCTTGGTCGAACTCTGGTGGATGGCTTCGACGAATGACGTGGCAAACCCAGAGAGCTCCACGTGTATTGTGGGACATTGCACTGCATAGATGGCCACGAGCGAGTTCAACCAGGATGCCTTCACAGCTTCTTCATGATCATTGGTAACGATGGAAGCATCGTCATGTTTGACGGGGCGTGGAGACGGTGGACAAAGTACGCGGCAGCATGTAGCGTGAATCCACCGAGTGTCTTGAGCCACCTGCCACCACGTCCGTGCCGTCATCCCCCCCGCCTACGAACGATCAGGAGTGTAGGTCTCTTTGGATTTACTCAACCACGACAATCACTCACGGCCTCGATTTGCACGAACGAACGATCGGGAGTGATGGTAAAACCAGCCAACGACTGCACACACTCGAGCATCCGATGCGTTGGGTACACGTCGAGCAATCTAAAGCAAGATCAAGTGGGGTTCACGAGTGCTGGACGTAGAGGAACCTACTAACGAGGGACGTAGTAACGAAGGACCTATTAACGTACCGCTGGCAAACATCATGCACGACAACATGCAAGTGAGGGGCGTGTTGATACATTTCACGAAAAAGCAACTTGGTCTTGTCTAGTGTTGACATGTGTCCGTCGGATATTGGTTGGGATAAGCCAAGGAGGATGAATAGCATGGGGCGCAGCGGACTCACGTGGGCTTCCTGCAACCACGTAGCAATCTACAACGATGTGATCATGATGTGCACTTGAATCTTCCAGAAGACTGGCTACCTGGAGCTCCCATAGATGTGGAAATTGAGTCCACAAGTTGAATCGAGCTGGCAGCGACATGTCGTTCAAGTGACCAGTCAGTCGCGCCTCAAACGCCGCCGACAAGTCTGCGAGAGGGTGCTGGCACAACAACACGTTGGCGAGCTCGACAAAGAGCGCGGTGTCGTCGACGTCGTCGGCCAACAGTTGCTGTAGTTCCATCATCGTGGCGTCGGGAATAGTGTTGTCGCGATGTAGAAGGAGACTCAATACATGCTCCTTGACGAGATCGTAATGAGCTTGCAGGGATACTGCCCCGATGACTGCATTGAATGTCGACGGCGGTGCTGCTGCTACAGGTGGTCGGACACATGGCGGTTGGAGGCTGGCTTCGTACCATTCCAGGGTGTCTGCGATCGTCGCGTGCGTCCACTCCCGGACAACCGTCACGTCTGTGTCCAGCGCCAACGTGCACAGTCGCTGCATGCCTTCATGCACGTTGCTGTGCTTGACGTGGTCAACGATGTCATTGCACTCTGCCCATGTCGCTTCGTCGGCGGTGTCCATGATTCAACATGTGAATATTTTGGCGTTTCTGCGAATCCAAATCACGTATTTTGATCTAATCGTCGATAATTGGTTAAAATAGACCTTAATATTGTCAAGTCGATGCTCGCAGCAAAATCGGCACTCAATCGATATACGACCAATCAAAACCCAGAACGCAAATCAAGTGGCCAATCAAATCCACTCTTGCTCCATTTCAACATTGAATTAGTATGTGAATGAAATTAGTGTGATTCTGGACGATCTTTACATACAGTCAGGCAGTCCTTGCTGCCGAAGCCTTTGAGATGATGATGCCATCAATGCATTCAATTAGACTCCTAACGTTAGCGCCTACTACGACGACCGCACCAGGGACAAAGTACTGTTCGTCGAGCTTCACATTCCTCGAGACGACGCTCTACTTCTTCTCGTCCGCAATCCACCGCCGACCTGACGGATATATGCATGTGTTCTATCATCTCGCATAGTTCTATTCAGGTTGTTTAATCATACTACATCTCTCGGTGCTCACAAGAGTCCGCAGTCGACGACGACGATGTCGGTCAACGGCTTGCCCTTGACGCTGTACACGTTTTCGATCTTCCGCACCACGTCCATGCCTTCCACGACCTTGCCGAACGCGACGTTGCGGCCGTTCAAGTGGGGCATGGGCTTGCTCGTGATGAAGAACTGCGACCCGTTCGTGTTCACGCCCGAGTTGGCCATACCCAAGACGCCGGCTTCCGTGTAGCGCAACGCAAAGTTCTCGTCGTCAAAGTGGCGCGCGCCTGACGCCGTGACGCCGCCCTTGCCGTTGCCGGCGGTGATGTCGCCGCCAGTCACGTACTGGTTCTTCTGAACCAAGTGAAACGGAGTGTTCTTGTACTTGCCCGACGTCACGAGCTGCGAAAAGTTGTCGGCCGTCGCGGGAACAATATCTGACGCCAACTCGACGACGACCTTTTCGGGGTCGGTGTTGCCGATCTTCACCTCGAGGAACGCGCGGGGACGAGGCGTCGACGGCTCCGGCACAGCGAAGTCGTACGCAAGGGATGCCGCCTTCGGGGAATTGAGCTTCTTCACTGCCAAATGGTACCATCCCCAGCCTCGGGCGCCGGCACGGACCGGCGCGACCACGCACCCAACGATTTGCCGACGCATCTTCTTGCAAATTACGACTGGCAAAGAGCACGCCATCCATGACGACATTGGATTGGCTAAAATACAATTCACAACAAAGTTTGATTCGCGCACAAAATTCAATACTTTTAAGCTTATTGACCTATGACATCATTTATTTGGCCGATACACAGTATGTATCGGCCAAATAAATGATGTCATAGGTCATGGTAGGACATGGTAGGACAGTTATCCGGAATCCGGTTAAAATTTGTTATACGGATTTAACCGGTTGATGTTGTCCCGATCGTGCAGCCCCCCCACACATAAGGGCTGCTGACAAAAGTTTTAGGCGCCCCAAAGGCTCTTACGCTGGTCTATCATTGAACGGCATCGCACGTGTAGGGCTTTTCGCCACAAAAACCTGCGGTCGGTTTTGGAGGTCTGCCTTTAATGTGACGCATTCGACATTGAGGCAATGTGAACAATGGATGTATTTGAATTTTGAGCTGTACCGCATGCACTTTTTCGGC